CTGCTATGATGTCCCTTCTCCTGTGTTAGTTTCTGTGAGAAAATAAGGAGTACAGGCACTTAATGTTTTGAATCTATCACCTCTTAAACTTTCGCAATCTGCAAATTATCAGGACCTTGTCTACATTATTTCTTACGTCGACTCTAAAATACGGAATTTTACTTAATCATAAAAAGTGTTTTATCATTTTATTTCTTTCATATTTTTTAAGCAGACATAATGGCAAAACACACTGAAATAACCCATTCAGCTGTCAACCCAATTACCCAAGCATAACTCTTTTTTTATTATTATTATTTATTTATTTTTTTCCCCCAAAGCCCCAGTAGATAGTTGCATGTCATAGCTGCACATCCTTCTAGTTGCTGTATGTGGGACACGGCCTCAGCATGGCCGGAGAAGCGGTGCGTCGGTGCGCGCCCGGGATCCGAACCCTGGCCGCCAACAGCGGAGCGCGCGCACTTAACCGCTAAGCCACGGGGCCGGCCCTCCAAGCATAACTCTTGCCAAGCATAACTCTTGCCATATTTATTGTATTTTGTTCAAAGAGGATCTTTTTAAAAAATTTAAAAATAAATTTTTAAAACAGCAGACTAAAAACTACCCTCCAAATTGATACACCTTCTTAATGGTAATTTTGAATCCCAAAAGGCAACAATCAGATTTAGGAATTCAGGAAGTTTTACATGGAGGGTTTTGTACTCGTTAAGCCCAGACACAATGAAAGAATTAACTTTCATCAACGACCATAAAGGCTGAATGTAATTGGTAGTTGATGATCTTTGTTCCGCCACACTGGAAAAGGCAAACAGAAAACATTAGGAATTTGAATGGAATGTTTTCTAACCTGAGGACTGCAAGAAAAAAATTTCCTTCAACAGAATGATTATGCTCCTTCAGTCACTGGAAGCAGAAGCTTTGGCATCCATTGATTGCTACTGGTAATTGCCAAAAAGGGGCAGGAAGAGCTTCCACACATCACAGCCCTCTTTGTGGTAGTGACACTAGCGAGCAGGGACGTAAACTTAGCAGAGATCCCAGGTTGTCCTTGAAACATGGAGATGCTGCTATTCCTACTGCCGGTGTCCCTCTCCACCCCAGAGGAAGAGGTTATTTCTGTTTCTAGGCCCATTTTCAGAACCAGGGGTATGTTCTGGAAGTCCAGATAAGAACCATCCTTTAATTGACAGCTGAAGAGCAGAGCCCCAGCTGGGTGCAGATTACACACCCGAGAACCGGCTGAGGTCTTGCTCCCCGGCTGACTGGCAGCTAACAGGCCACCTTGCTCTGGCCTCAGAAGCAGGTTCCCCTGCTGAGATTGCACACCTGCCCAGTGCTGACAGCTGGGCCATGGAGAAGCCCAAACTTGGTGTCCAGACTCAAGGCAGGCCACAGGGAAGCTCCTCCTGCAGAGATATGGTGATAGCCAGCTGGCTTGAATCAATCCTTTGTTTTCAGACTTGTATTTTATCTCAGCTAAAATTTCAAGTCCTGATGAAAATTCCACCATTATTTCAAATGGCTGATTTGTCTTTAAACAACTCTTAAAAAATCTGAGCACCACTGCTGCGTGCACACTACCGTGAGTGTACTTGTTTTCTGTAACCCTAGCGACAGTGATCTACATATGATTCCTTAACAAAGTGAAAAAGCAGCTGTTTAATATATAACTCAGGACAAAAACAGCAACAGAGCAGTAGCAAAACTGAAAGAGAGCATGAGCATTTTCACCTCCATTTAAGAAGACTTCAAAAAATTCACACCAGGCATGAAACACATACAAGAAGTTCTCACCCTTTTGCAAATAAATATATAGAAACTATTAAGAAGAGATGAAAAGGCTAGGGAATCTGCTCACTACTCCAGTCTTTCTCGCACTTTCTTTTACATCACTTTCTCTCTCTTTAGGAAATTCAAGAAAAGCTTCCATATCAGAAGAACACACTAGTATGCAAAGAACACAATGCTGTGAGTTGACTATGGAACAGTAACATAAAATCGAGTTGTAAATGGAATGCATTGGCACCATAACTTGATATGACTTTAAAAATAAAACTAAAACAATTTTTTGTCACTTAAAAGCCTTTAAGGATCAACTTAATCAATGTTTGGACTACCCTATACATACTGTAAACAGCGAGACAACTGTCAAAAATCCCATGGGCCAAATGTTTCCCAAATGCTCAAACTCTCTGAAGTCTCATTTAACAATTACAGCACCATGCTCCCAAGATACCTTTTCACAGCAAATCCATTCATTAAACACCATTATCAAGCAATACTTTGCCTATTGGGTGGCCAACAATGTTTCCTTTCATCCACAAAATAAAGATTCTACATGAAAAGAAAACAAGCATAGGAAATGCATGCACATATGCCTATGTCCTTGTGGGTCAAAGCAGCGTTAGCAAAAACAACCTAAATTGGATACCAAAGACAAAAGATCAATAATCTGGAAATTTCTAAATCTTCTGGGCAATCAACTTGACAGTTAAAATATGAGACAAGTTTCATTGTAACGTATAACACTTCAGTCACCCTCTTGGACCCCTCAATTCTAACAGCCACCCTGCCCAGTCTTCCTGGGCCATCTCCATGGCCCAGTCACTGGTGTGTAAAGAAAAGACTAGTGTTCCTCCAGGCAAGAAAACCCCGCCTCCTCCCAGCTAGCTGTTAGGCATATTCTTCCCCCTGTTGAAAACACAATTTAGGGAGCCTGCTGTCTCTCTCAAATATTCTCATGGTTTCAGACTACATTGGATTTGTTCCTCAAAACATCTATTAAAAAAAAGAACAAACATAGCACTCAGCTTGGGCACACAATGAGAAACCACTATGAATTGCTGGCTCACTTTTTCCTGTATACTTGACCTATCTTCCCAAAGACCCAGAAAGCTGCTTGAAGGGTCTTATGTTTCTTGAGCACTGCACATCTGATCCACAGCCCACCTATTCCTCACATTCTCAACTAACATTCACAGACTTATAGAAAGTTATAATCTGAAAGGACCTTTAGAGATGATCTAGTCTGAGCTCTACCTGAAATGAACTAGATGAGAGGCATTAACCTTTTAGAGCCCAGTGAGTCAGGCAGATCTGGATTCAAATCCCACCTCTGGTACATTCTAGTTATGTAGGCTGTTTTCTCATCTGTAAAACAGAGATAACACCTACCTCATTAAACTGTTGTAACGACCAAATAAAATAATAAATACTTTTTTAAGTTAGACTTTCCTTTTTTTTTTGGTCCTTGTTATGACAATCTTTTTGGCTGATTTTCTTCTTGGTTTATATTACATTAAATTGCAAGTCCAAGAGGCAGGGCTGTTTTCCTACTGTGTTTTCTAATCCTAGGGTGCCTAGTTCAGTGCTTAGCATCTTTTGACGGAGCCACAAACCAACCACGTGAAAGAATGCAGTAATTCTCTATTATCACTACCTATTTCAGCAAACATTTTGTTCTTTAGTTCCCCCAAGAACCCAATCACTTAGATCTATGTCTTTCCTAAACTGTGCCCTCTCAAAACAAATACATCTCTCTCCCTACTCCCTCTTCTCACACACATACAACGTTCTCTTTAGAACTAAGAGCTGAAAAAAACTACTACTTCTCTCAAATTTTTGGAATAAAGTCAGCATCTTTACCATGAATATTCAGGCAAGCTGTGATAGGTGGAGAGACAGAATTTGGAAGGATGCAAAATCTCTGGAGAACTTTCTTAGGATTTGTGGCATCAAATCTTTAAATGAGAATTACTTGTCTATAACAAATTCTGGCAGAAAGTAAATCAGAACTCACTGCTGAGTTGTCAGTGAAGTTAAATATTTCACTCCATTCTACACAAGCAAACAGTGACTAATAGGATTAACCCGAGCTTTAACACTGGGTGTAGATGTCCTTCAACAAGAAACAGGTTCCATTAGAAGTGTCGGCCCCTTGATAGTAAATTTATATTTTAGAGGGCATAAATTTTGCTTTTGAAATATATTTTACTAGAAAAATATTTGCTCCAAATGCCAGGGCAAAAGCGTCAGTTCTTTCCTTTGCAGGGGGCAGCGACAAAAGCACCAATGGGGGAGAAGGGGCGAGATTTCAGACCCCTGAAGAAGACACAGATTTCCACCAAAGAAACATTGATTCTTTCAAGGAATTTTCTCCCTAACAGCTAAAACGGTTTAACACATAATCAGCATCTTGTATCAATTACACAAATACCATTTAAGCAACTCTGGTGGCCTGGGAAAGGACCGCAACAAACAGAAATCCTTACTGGCCCCAGCTGTCCCCTCCTGCAGAGCTTGACAGCGTGTCCAAGGCGCCCAAACACCAGCCACCAGGCTCCCCCCAGCGCCCTCCTCTCGCAGCAAACTGCCAAGGCTCTCGGGCCAAGCTCCAATGGCCCTCGATTCAAAACCGCGAAAATGTGAACCCTGTTAAGCAAACGGTAGAGCGCGTAATAACTTTTCTTTCCCTTCTGCGCCGATTTGAGATGCCTGTCCCTAATACCGACTTCTCAGGTCCACAGCCCGCTTTCCGCAACCCACCTCGAGGGAAAGCGAGAGGCGGCGCGGACCAGCGAGAGGGCTGGTGAGTTCTAAAATCTCCGCGGTTTTCCTAGTGCGGGAAACTGAGGACACAGCAGCCCCATAACGATGAGATGCAGCTATAAAGAAAGAATGGTCTTCTCCTCACCCCTGCTAAAAGGAAAAATAGAAACACGCAGCGGGCGTTTAGCTGGACATGCCGGGCCCTCCTATGGGCCGAGAAGGCCCGCAAAGCCGGCGTCTGGAATCCAGAGGAAGAAAGTTGCCCGGCAAAGAGGAGGCCAGGGCATGAGTGTCGACTCGGTCCCGAGCATGGGGAAGGGGTCGAGGGGGAAGAGATGGGGACTGACTTGGAGAACCAGCCCCGCGCGCGGCCGGCTGCAGCCGCCGGCGAGCCGGCCGGGGAGGGGTGCGGGCGCGGAGGCCGGCGCGGCCGAGGCCGAAGCTCTACTTACATAACGCTTCAACTTTTTCTCCGGGGGGGACTTGCGGAGCCATCCCGAGCAGACCACTTCGCCGCCGCTCATGGTGCGCGCCTCTCCGGCTCCGCGCCGGGCAGCAGACGGGCGGCCGGGCGCGCTCCCGACAC